ATGCTGAGGTTGTGCCTAAAGACTTTTTTTTCCTAAATTTATTGAATTTATTGGGCTGACATTGATTAATAAAAATACATTTGTTACAGGTGTACAACTGTAATAATATATCATCTGTATATTGTATTGTGTGTTCACCACCCTAAGTCAAGTCTCCTTCTATCACCATTTATCCCCTCTTTACCCTCTTCAACCTTCCCCCACTCTTTTTTCCTCTGGTAATCACTTAATTATTTTTTCAATGACAGATATATAATAATACTTAATGCAAAAAAAATTCATGCAACAAAATTGCTGGTAATGTTCATTTAAAAAAACAAAATGAATTTTCTCTCTTATATTCTTCCCCTGAGGATTCTCGGGTGGAAATGAGCAGAAACTCTGCAGAAGTGGTAATCAGCCAGTATTTCTATAGGAAAAGGCACAGCTGCCACTATCTAGACTGGGGAGAGGCTTAGTCTGTTCCTTCTTTGAGCCCCTCTTTCCAATAATGAAGTCATTCCTCTCCCAAACCCTGAGGTAGATCTGGGCAAGCAGCTATAATTCTCCAAGTCTTTCTCACAATTTGTTATTCGTCCAGGAAAAATGAAATCTGATTACAAACTTTACAGTGACCCATAAGCCCCAGAAGTTCTGTCCCACCTCTACCATTTCCTTCTCTCTCTCTGACTGCACTGCTTACCAGTCTGCCTTCACTTGCTCTGCTCCAGGCACACTGGCCTCCCTGACAGAGTCAGTGCATGGGCTCTTCCCTCTGCTTGGGACACTTAGGAGCCTCCTCCCCGAGGCTTTTCTGACCACTTTATTTTCAATTGCAGTTCCCTGCCCCAGCTTTCCCTATATCCCTTATGTACTTTCTCCCCCATTGCACTTATCTCCATGTGATCTACTATACATTTCTACTTCTTGTCTGCATCTGCTCAATAAAAAGTCACCACTATGAGGGAAGGATTTTTATCTGTTCTGTTCACTGCTATGTCCCCAACATCTGTAACAATGCCTGGCACTTAGCAAGAGCTCAAAAAACATTTGTGGAATAAATAAATGGTTTCAAGTTTGGGAAATAATGCTGGTGCCCATAAACTATTTATTAGACACTAAAAACACAAAACTATACAAGATGTCACATATAAGTAGTACAAAAAACATGGTCTTTAGTTTCAAGAAGTCTGGAGAAACAAAACTAATATGCATGAAGTAATTAGTCAATTACATAGGCAGATTCGGTATTAACTAATTAGGTTTATTTGTAAACTCATGGAATCTGCTTTTTTATTTCTAGTATATATTTAAATACTGAATGAAATAGCACAAACTTGTCTTAGGAGTTCAGAGACAAAAGAATGAGTAAGCTGCAATAGTAAGAAAAGACTATGGGTTGATGATGAGTTTGACAGAGTTTGTGTATGTGGAGGCATGTATTAGCAGTGAAGAGGTAGGTAGGTGAACTGAGAACATAAGGCCATGTGATGAACAGTAAGAAACCTATCTTAAATGGAAAGATGGTATTCCCTTTTGAGTAGTGATGTTCAGGGGAGGGTAATTGGAGTGGGCCTACATCACAAAAAGCCTAATGCTCTGAGCAGAAGACTCACGTCTAGATGGAATCTCACAGAACATGCTGTTGGTGCCCAGCCTGAGTCCTCTGGAACCCTTCTACTGGCTTGATACACTCACCCCAAGGGGTTCACTTCATTACTACTAATGTTCACACCAGCAACTTTCTATGGAAGCAACAGCAGCTACCTCCTAGCTCTCCTATGCATGTGTGCACACACACACACACACACACATACACACACTCTCACACATTTCCAGGACAGCTGGTGGCCAAACACTAATAAATGCAGAGGAGCAAAATGTAAAACTCAGTTCCCTCACCTCAGCATAGGAGAGACCCTATGGTCTATGGTACAATTTTGTTCCCAAGTTCCCTCCTGGATCAAACTGAGGCTAGACACCCCCTGAAATCACATCCTTGATCATCTCTGTTTCTTCTTCCCCATCCTGCTTCACTCACTCCCTTTAACATATCACTTGCAAATGAATCCCACCTCAGGTTCAGCTTTTAGGGAAAACAGACTAAGTCAAGTCTGTAAAGGAATATCATGAAGAAAACTACATGTTTATGAAGAATCACATAGAAAAATTACTTCTCTGAATAGCTCAGTTTGGAAGGAGAATGTAGAGCAATTTGGTTGATGATAGGTGGGATAAAGAAGGTAAGGTGTCTGGAGGCCAATTAAGGATGCTGTTGTTCAAATTCAGAAAGAAGAAGAAAAAATATTTGTATTTATATGAGAAAGAAAGAGAACTTTTAAGAGGAGAATAGCCCTAGGAAGTCTTTAAGAGGAGAACTGAACATACTCTGCAAAGTTTTATTTTTTTCCTTAAAATGCAAAATGTATTTCTTCAGTAGCAATGTTAATATTATATAATGTATTTCCTTGAATGCAAATCACTTTTCAGGCTGACATTACCTAACCCAAGAAGCATTTAAAAACTTAAGAATTACAATGAATAACAACAGGACTCAAAAATTCTCTCTTGTATTTTGGGTCCCTGAATACAATTATTCAGAAATATGAAGACAAGATTAAAGAGTATCTCCCAATGTTTATTAGGTTTGTTAGACTTTGTATTTAAGTAGTTAAAAAGAATCTTTATTAGAGGCAATACCAGATTACTCAAATAGGAAATGTATTCATATAGAGTAACCTCTGGTTTTCATCTACTCTTGTGAGATCTAAAATTGGTTTCAATAGAAAATAAAATACTGGGTCCCAGGTCATAGAATAGGGAGCACAATGTGAAAACAAGTAGCCTAGCATAAAAGAAATGATACACAGCCCAAGAAAAAAAAGCTTATATCCTATGTAAACTTTCAGCTTTAGAATTTTAAAACCAGCCCATCGCCTGTATTTATTTTGTTTTGTTGATACCTCACGCAAGTTAAGCTTAACTTCTTGGTTCCATTTCAAAAGCATAGTTAGTAAAAAAATGCCCATAAATGAAAATGAGTACTTTCATTCATGAGTAGAAAGGATACTATCAAATAAGAACTTTTTAGCAAGGTTATTTTTCACATTGATTACTTTTATAGGAATTAAAATGTACAGCTAATAGTTATCAAAATTTAAATACACACAACCTTTGACTCAACAGTCCAATGAAAGGAATTTTTCCCAAAAGAAAAAAGAAGGAACTAGCTAAAAAAAAATCACAATTCATCAAAACAAATCTGTAAGTCTAAGTTCATAAAAAATTTTACTATTCACTTTAAGACCAAATCGATACTCCAGCAGACAAGTACATATAATTTATCCTGTATATGATGTCTATCCAGAAGGCATCCAGCCATGTGATAGAAAAAAAAAATAGACACATTTGTTGAAGACACAAGACACAAGAAACATTGTACATAGGACAATGATGCCTCAGTCCCCTTCAAAGTAAGCGCCTTGAGACCTCACACAGTTCTCCCAATCACCATCAGCTGCCTTGGCCTGTTTTCCTGAATCTCATTGATGGTCTGAAATCTCTTCTCTTTCATAGTTTTAGTTTTGGGAAAACCCAGAAGTCACAGGACACCACATCTGGGCTATAGGGAGCTAAGTCACCTGGGTGATTTGATGTTTAGTCAAAAAACTCTACACAACACGTGATGTGAGTGGGCGTGTTGTCACGATGAAGTTCCCAATTACCAGTTGCCCATAGCTTCAGCCTTCTGAATCATCCAAATAGTTTCCGTGGAGGAATGTTCAAGCTTAATGCAAAGTTTGATGCAGATTCGTTGCTCTACTCAGTCATTTTGAATGTGACAGCCACACAGTAAACATGCTCACTCAACAGCATCTACCATCACCCCCAGTGACTAGTACAGTGAAGTCATCATTGTTCACACATTCGCATTCCAGTCCACTCTCCTTGGCTGCCAGATTATATCGGTGTTACGCAAACCATTCTCTTTATATTAACAATGGCTGGACTTTATTCCAAACAGACCTCACATATGCTTTTAATAGTCCAGGAGTGACTCCAGCTTCCACAGCCAAACACATTTGGAAGGCACCACTTAATATCATTCCCCCTTAAATACTTACAATACACAAGATAATTTATTAAAGACTATGAGATGCTTTGCAGGGAAAAAAAGTATTTTCCAAATTGAATAGAGTAGAAACACTTTTCTAATCACTAAAAACAAGACATTTAAAACTTTCCATAACCACCTGGTAAATGAGAGCTCCCATCCTTATAAACCTAAAGGTTCAGAGCTATCAATCACCCTTTCTTCATTCTTTCTTTCTCCTCCCCTCAGCCCAAAATAATACAGTGGTTCTGATTTTATATTTCATAATAATCACAGGGAACTTATTAAAATATAATTATTGGTTCTTACTTGCAGATGTTCTGATTCCTGTCAGTATGTTTAACAAGCAATCCAGGTGATTTCAATGTAGGTCAAGTGTTGGGATATTCAAACTGCCTGACACACTATCATCAAGGAGATGATTAGCTATTTTATAATTAAGCCTAGGTAACTTTAAAAAAAAAAGTAAGTTCAGAAAACCTGGACTTCATATAAGTGTATTTTAAAAAATTTTTCTACACAAGAAAAAAAGAGAGAAGACATACTAAGAAAAGTCATATCATACCCTAAAAGAATACCCTCTAATATAATGCCCAGAATACTAAGACAAAAGGTTTTACCCTATATAAGAATTCTTAGCCAGCACTCCATTGAGGAATTTTAGGAATTCTTAAACTGACTGACCTGTATACACAATTTTCATGGATATGTGAATACTATGGAGAAATCATCCAAAGCTTTCACTAATTCTTACATTGCTTCATTACTCAATTTAAGAGCCATTATATATTTTCTATGTATCTGAAAAAAGGGTAGTGAAAACTGCTTTTTAGTTAACACAATGAATCAGACATACAAAAGCACATTCCTCAGTATTGTTCTCTGAACCAAACAAAAAGCAATTCACCTTTGCAGAGTCATATTCAAGGAGCCTGTACAGCCTTTAATCTTGTTCTGAGCTTCAAGATGAGTCATTCCATGAGCACTTATTCCATCAATGCTGAGAAGCACATCGCCTATTCTCACGTTTGCCTGGGATGCTTTGCCACCATCTTTTAGCTGTAATAGATTTAATTAGGAATGTCACTTGTTAAAAAAATAAATAAAAAACACAGATTGAAAGTATATTTTTACTTACCTCAAAATAAAAGTATATACTATGAGACAGGGTAATAAAAATTATCTTGTAGCCCTGGCTGGCGTAGCTCAGTGGATTAAGCACAGGCTGTGAACCAAAGTGTCGCAGGTTCAATTCCCAGTCAGGGTACATGCCTGGGTTGCAGGCCATGACCCCCAGCAACCGCACATTGATGTTTCTCTCTCTCTCTCTCTTTCTCCCTCCCTTCCCTCTCTAAAAATAAATAAATAAAATCTTTAAAAAAATACGTTGTTTAAAAAAAATATCTTGTTTAACAGGTAAAGTTAAAATTTAAATGACATTCATGTTTATTTTTTAAATCTTTATTTTTTCCATAAAGCTAAAATAATTTTATAAGAAAGGTTCCCTAATAATTTCTCCATTTCTTTATTGTGTAAGAGTAGCGTGAGATTGTTACAAATGAGAAAAGGAAGAAGACAAGGACACTACATCTTAGCAAAAGAAAAACAGTGTAAGCTGAAAAGGGTATTTAATATTCTTTTAGAAGTAATTTTTAAAACTCTTGAGACAGCTGTATTTTTGTTTGAACACAGAAAGTAATACACACGAGGATCTACTAAACAATGCTTCCTGTTGAGTCCAATTCATATCCAGTCTTTGGGGTGTTGAATTATTTTAGATCACAGGCCCAAGTATCTTTTAAAAGGGATGTGTATCCTGCTCCAGCCACTTTGCAGGCAGGGAAGGAAACAGTGTGTCTGAGACAGACTTTCTTGTGTATCACAGTCTTTAGTCTCCAGTCTTTCCTCCTTTCTCTGTAAAATTTTGTTAGAAAATTTTTCTAAATAGAAAAAAAATATATCTTTTTGAGCAAGAATATGAAAAAGCTAACACACACAAAGTATTAAAAATATTTCAAACCTTTCAAATGAAACATTCTCTTTCATATACATAGTATATAGTGATTTTGTTTTCATCTTTTTACTAATGGAAAAAATAACTCCTTTCAACTGCCCAGATATTTGAAGGTTAAAAAAAATTAATGAAATATAGATACTAAAAATAAAAATTGCATACTAACAAAATGGATCAAAATTTAACTCATATAAAACCTATCAATATAAGTATATTATATATGTATACTTATACACACCTTTTATTATATATATATTGTATGATTGTCAAAGTAGTTCCAGAATTTAATGAAAATTAAATAAATTGGATTTCAGGATCACAGGATCAAGGAAAAAAGAATTAAGACAGAACTTTATTACATATATTCTTAAATACTGTACTGGTAGACACATTTATTAAAATATAAGCAGAATGTGTGCATGTGCTTATTTGAGATTTAGAAAAAAGTCTTTACAATTAACAAGTACATTAAGTAATATGGTTTTACTACAGTCATGCTCTGAGTGATGACATTTTGGTCAGCAACAACCACCTGTACAGCAGTGGTCCCATAAGATTATAATGAAGCTGAAAAATTCCTATGGCCTAGTGACACTGTAGCTGTAGTAGTGTGCAGCCCAATGCATTGTTCATGTGTTTGTGGGGACTGGTGAAAACAAATCTACCATGCAGCCAGTCTTATAAAAGTATAGCACATGTAATTATGTACAGTACATAATATTAAAAAACAAACAACTATTTTATTAGTTTATTTATTTACTATACTACACTTTTTTGTTAGAATCTACTATTTGTACTTATGTAAAAAAAGTTTGCTGTAAAATATTATGCCATGTTAGCCTGCCAACAGCCTCATACATCTCATGTTTACCAATCTCTTGACTGCATCTCTTTTTCTTGTGCTTGATTTAACCTTGTGTTGTTTTGTCCAGGCACATGATGTACAGGCTTGTAGCCTAGGACCAATAGGCTATACCATAGAGCCTAGGTATGTAGTAGGCTATACCCATATGGGTTTGTGCACTCTATGATATTCACCTAACAATGAAATCATCTAACAGCGCATTTCTTGGAACAGATCCCTGTCATTAAGCAGCTCATGACTGTATATTAAATAATAGGTGTGGAGCATCTTTTAATAATTAGTATTTCTTTTTTATTAATTTAAATGTCTGAAAAATCATTTAATAAAGAAATGCTAATTGTTCTTCTCTAATGTCACTGAACAAAATTGTCTGAATTGCGAAAGACATTTACAAGAAAACAGTTTCTAGAGCCAACAATGCCACAGCTTTCTATGGATGGGACTTGTTCATAGGATTGTTATAATGATTATGGGAGATTATAGCTCAATAAATGTTAGTTGTTACTGCTGTTCTGTTGACCTCAGATTACTAATCGGAGAAATATGGGTGCTGGTCTAGATGATCTCAAAGGCCTTCCTAAGGTCCCTTCCAGTTTTAAACTTTATCTACCTGTCAGCTATCTGCACAAAAGTATAGATCTAATTCCAAAGTAAAAGTCAAATTTGAAAGACTCTGTTTTGTTGGCAATGCAAAGGGACATCTATTCCCTATTAAAATTAGCCAATTAATTGAAATTTCAATCCTGATAAAGTATAAACATAATTTACCCCAGATTTTATTTTAGCCAAAAAAGGCAAGCATAAAAACAAAAAACAGAAATACAGCACAGCTAAATTACCTCGCTATTCCTAATGTAAAGTACACTTAACACAGTAACACTGAAACCTATGGCACATTTCTCTAAATGTACCCAACAAAAGCAATTTAAATATTCCCAGTTTTGTAGTAATATAAAGGTAATGAACAATGTATTAATCATCAAATCCAATGTTAAAACCAGATAAAACTTTTCTTACCCCTTTGTTCCAGTTGCCTAACTAGATTCCCAGATCCTATGACTTCAAGAAGTTCAAAACCAACTTCTCGAAATTAACTATCTTTTTAAGGATGCTTTTATTCTGCCACCTTATTTTCAGACAGTAGAGCATGGAAATCCTATAGCTCCTGTAAAGTCTGCCTCTTCCAAGTACCATGTCTAGGGAAATTATTGAAGTTTGTCGATTCTTCCATTCTCCTCCCATGATAGTCCATATCTGACCATGTGTCACCTTGATCTTGCCCAACTGACTACTGGAAGATTCCACATTCCTTCCTCCCCCTTCTAGCTTCACATTTTCCTAATAGTGACCCTACTACTGTTACACACTGGGGCTTCAATCATGTAAACCATTTATGAAATGAGGGTGAAAAAACTTCAAATATCTTCTGCTTCCTACAATGTAAAATAAAGCCAAAACCTGAAATACAAGCCATCTATAATTTGTCACCTACTGGATTCCAACCTCAAAATAAGCACCATAAGATCAGGGATCAAGTTTTATAATTTGCTCTTCTCCAAGAGCCTTGATTATTGTGAATATCAGAAAAATATCTGATAGACTGTGATAAATAAGAAATTAATAAGTCAGTACATCAATTTAATATACTAAATTCTAGAAGTATACTTAATTCACCAAAGTGAGAAAATAGATTCTAAACTGAAAATGATAGTCTTCAATTAATCTTTAGGTTGAACTGACATAATGTCAAAAATCAAACTGTAGTTCCAAAAGAACAAAATAAATCCAGTTCAGAGAGTCAGCAATGCCATTTTTCTGAGGACCTCTAAAGCGATATCACAGTTCCCCTTGGTAATTTTATCAAACAAGTGTTAGGAAGAAATATTTAATCTTGACCCTTTCTCAGTAAAATTATCAGAAATGGAAACAAATACCAAGCATCACCTGTATAACCTTTCATTATTATTTAATCTGTCAAAGTCATTTTTGCCTACAGTTTTTTGAACTTGGTAATACTGTCTTGGGTTTTCGACATTAACTTCATTTCTTAATCTCTACCTTTATTATCCTATCCTCAGGCTTTCTATTCATGATTTAAACTAAAGATCACGATTGAACTAATGCTCTATATATAATGGGAAAACCTCAATGCCTAGAAACAAATTTAAGACTTGTGAAAGGTGGCATCTAACTGAATACACCTGTGAACTTCATCTGTCTCCAGAACCACTTCCTCAAGCCATGGACTCATTAGAAAGATAAATTTCCCACTTTAATTGGATATTATATAGCATTATTATAAATTATGAGCATCTAAAGAAAAACAATAAGGTCACTCATTACTTGTACAGCTCTTTCTTCCTCTGTTTTTGCAAATCTAAATAGCCTGCATTTGTCTGAAGCAACAGTAGTTAAGTTTCTGTCATTAGTAAATCTTACACAGCTTCTATGACAACCATAAGGGTGTGTGTGTTACATAAATGCACAACGCGTAGAAAGGAAGCAGTTGTGGGAAGCTCCTGGGTCAAGCCCCGTATAAATCAAACTAATCACAAGCAAATGCTTCTCTTTTGATCTTTAAATGCATTTTTCAGAACAGCTGCCCAATTTTTCATAAACTTAACTAAGGTTGTTTTTTCTTCCTTAAAAATACTGCTTTGTGGTCTTACTTAAGTTGCAAGCATACAAGGCTGCACATGCTGGAACTACCTCTGAACTTCCGTTTATTGATGTAGATGGGTAAGAATCATTTACACTAACTGAAAAAAAAATGACTTTGGTAATTATCCTATTACATACTATGGGTAACAACCTCCTGCATGTTTTCAACAAATATGGACTTCTTGGAAATGTATGACCCTAACGCCATGGGCATGACAGGAATGCTATCAGACTTAGTAAACGTGAAAAAGGAACATACAAATATGACAGCTACAGAAGGAAACACTAAGAGAAACTCCCAATGTCTGAAAACCATGGGAACTAAACCATGGGAAAATAAAAGCTATTGTTTTTCTAGCGGTGATAAAATTTGGAGAAATATACTAATAAAATTATATCAGTCTGACCAAAAAAGTTTTCTTGAAGCAGGGAAAAGCAATGAGCAAAGTCTTATTTTAAAAGAACATCTGATTAATGATCAACCTTCAATTTTACTTCACAATGTTATTTTCTAGTACC